TCAGTTTGTTAGAAAACCTGTTTTCTGTAAAATGTGAATGTTAAATTTCAAATGGGCATACTTAATTGTACTGCTTGACTTTTGTTCTTTCCTAAAAAGATGCTTGGATGTGCCGAGAAAACTTATTCTTTATGTTCCCAGGGTGTTCATTTGATTACATTGCTGTTTGTGTGGTCTGAAATACTTTTGCAGGTGAAATTCCAGATGCTGCATTTATCCACGCTGCCCGGAAGAGAAGACAACTGGCCCGCGAGCTGGGAGATGCCATTCCTATGGAGTCCGAGGTGGGCAAGAACCGGTTAGTGAGGGAGGACGAGCACGACGCCAGCGATGATGAGGATGACGATGAGAAACGCCGCATCGTCTTCAGCGTGAGGGAGAAGACCCAGAGACAGAAAATAGCTGAGGAGATTGGTGAGTCTGTTAAGCTGGAACTACAATCTCTTGAGTTAGAGCATATTAAAGATAGCCCTATGGCCTAGATGTCAGTGTTTTCATCTTTCAATTATGTCACTAGCCTACCCTTAGCAGGATTGCAAAGTTTGCAGGGCACTGCCGAGATCATGTGGGTGTTAGTTGGCTGTGACTCCCTCAGCTTTCAGGGGATAATGAATGCAGTCTTACTAGTAGTGCAGGACTACATCTGAGGAGGAGAAGTGAACTGGTACTGTGCCATGACTGGTACTCATGAGATCACAAAACTATTACAAACAAGTGTCAGGCCCACTTAGCTTGTAGATTTAAAGTACTTCCTTTTAGAGCATCATAAATTTGCAATGATTGTCTGAACATGGGGTTATATAATTATGCAGTATGTGTACATGCACATATGTGTAACAATTGAAAAAAAATTCAATGTTTTTTTTAACTCCATGTAAGGAGAAATGACTGTTAATGAAGGAAGACCAGTTGACCTATTTGTTCAGTGGGTTTCTAGTAGTATAGTATTTTAAGGGAAGCAATAAATGAACTGGGTGATTTAATCTCTCTACAAAACCTCTAAAACAAACTGAGTGTGATTAGAATTTATAAGCCTTCTAATTTAGGATTTTTGTATGAATAATATTTTGGCTCTGCTTTTTCAGTTTGCCAATGACAAGTTCACCTCTGTGGCATGGGAGAACACTAGAACCTCTTTATTCCATTATGGGCATTGTTAAAATTCTCTCAAGTACCACAGTTAAAAAGCAAATTACATTTTCATGGTTTTGTTTCTACTGACAAAAACAGATTGTATCATATCATACACAGTTTTCAGTTAATACAAAACACATTTTAAGCTCAGCTCATGTTTTGACTAAATTTTAATTAAAGCTTAAGGTTATCTGACCTTTAAGTCCATGCCTGACTCACTGGAAAAGTTGTGAATTTGCTCATTTAATTCACATAATCTGTGCTTGCTGGCATACCTGGACTCACAGCCTTTTCAGAGAGTTAAGGATTTCATTGGCTTGAGGGTGTTGCTGAAATTTTCATTTTACAGCTGAAAAAACAATTTACAGTTAGCCCAGTAGAGAGACAAAGCAACCTTAGATTAATTAACAAGACTTCAGAAAAGCAACCCAGAATATCTCATAATGCTGCAGGATGCTTTATGATTTACAGCAGATTCCTTAATAATTTGTCGGTTAGTGAATAGCAGTTTAGTCTATCCAGATTGTAATTGATTACATGGATTTTACAACTTTTTTCTTAATAAAAGTCAAAACAATGTGTTCATTGCCATTGCAATTTGGAGATCAAGCTTTTGATGGGCCCAACCTTTTGTTTACAAAAATAATTGTTGAACAATTATAATTGCATATATAATTCTGTACAATTATAATTATAATTGTTGAATAATTAACTGAACGTGACATGCTGAGCTGCTGATCTTTCTGGGTTTTTACCCCTTAACGGTTGGATTTATTTTCTCTGTTTTTTTTTAACAGGAATCGAAGGCAGTGATGATGAGGCTCTGGATGCAGGAGGCCAGGATGAAGAGCTAAGCCGCTGGGAGCAGGAGCAGATTAGGAAAGGGATCAGCATTCCACAGGTCAGCTTTGGAAAGATCTGATGACTTTTTTAATACTGGTGCACAACTCATCAGAATGGCCACAGATGACCTCATCTGTTTTTGTTTCTCTGTTGTCCTATATCCTGCTCAATTCTTAGCGCTCATCATCTCTAACTGGTTAATTTTAACTACCCTCTAAGACATGACCAATTTCAACAAAATTAAAGATGGGCATTTTTTTGTTCTTGTTGCTTATATCTCATTATTCAAAACAATTAAGATTTTTTTCAATATAACTTACGTTTAGCAACACAATTGCCTTATTACCTTACAAGTAGATGCGTGATGTCAGATAAGGAATGTATACAGAGGTACAAAATAAGGTTAATGTAACACATCTGGTGAGGAATTAGGAATGTTTGAATGACCTGAATTTAGACTTTAGAACATTTTAAATTTAGAAGAATTTAGAGCTTGTAATTTTGTTTTTGGCAGTGGGTGTTTGCAAGTGGGACAGAACTGGGTTTTAGGTTGAAAGGCAGAGTGACGCATAATCAGAGCATTGCTTCCCACATTCAGCATTAACTGTATCATGAGTGAATAACAGCGGAAGGTTTAGTTTAATTTTTTTTTGTCTTCCTTTAGGTTCAAGCCAGTCAGCCAGAGGATGTGACTATGTATTACCAAAGCTCCTATGAAGCGTCGTCCTATGGATCATCGTATGGCCTGCCCTATACCTACAGCTCTGTTGGATCTGAAGACTCGAAACAATTAAAGTCCGAAAGCTCAGTAACATATTCTGCTCCTAGTAGTGAAATGACACCTATCACTACTGATTTGGTAAAGAAACGCCTTAAAGACAGGTAGGGTAGACCCACTTTCTTGCAAAGGGTGGCTGCACCTATGCTGTTGCTATTCAAGGCTGTTTCACAGAAACCAAGGGCACATTCATTTCACAAACCAGCTGGGTTGTGGGGGACCCTTCTTAAATTTCCATCATCCATCTACCAGCGCTTCAGTGCTCTTATGGAAAGGGAGAAGGACGCTAAGGCACAATGTTAAGTCAACATCCCAGAATACCTTCTTGTAACTCGGCAAGGACAATGCTGACCAGACCCAGACTCCTAAATGCTGAACCAGAATTAAATGAGACCTTTTCGGCTGTCAGATGTCTGATTGCATGGATGTGTGATGTGGACTGTTTTTCAATAATGGGACACCAATGTGAGCCTCTCAAGCACGTTTCTTGTGAACTAGGTTAGATTTATAAGATAAACGTGAAGCTGTACCAGATATCGGGAGTTATAGGATGTAGATGAACAGTCTTTATATACATTCTACATTTTTGTTAAAAACTATTAAATGCTTAATAGTTTGAAGAAGCTTAATGTTACACTTCTTTGCTAACTTCAGTGATGTGAAAAAACATTAAGGAAATGTTTCAAAGATAGCTGCAGCACCTCCCCGTGTGATTTGAAACAACTGGCCCAAAAGTTGTACTGCCACTATTTTTTGTTACTTTGCTAAACAAAGAATGGTTTGAGTTTTGAAATATTTATTGTTGCTGGGTTTTTTTTCCTACTTTGCAACCGAATCCATGCCAAAGGGGTCAGCTTTGAAGACCTTTGACTAAAGGAGGTGGTTCAACATTTCCAAAGCCATTTGTGGGTTGTGCTCGAATCGGAACTGCTGATTATCTTTGTTTAAGTCTCCTCTTGTGTCACCTGTGTTTGTCCGTGTTTTCAGATGGGAAAAAAAAAGCAAACGAGCTGAGCTGGTAAAAGCTTTGCTTGGTGTAGAGATGGGGTCCTCTTTTTGTAGAGCTCACTAGGTCAGACCTGTCCATTACTGCCAAAACCAGACTGTACTTGCGCTGATCTTATTTGTAATCTGTGTTTTTCTTCATCAGATTGAATTCAATGAGAGAAGTGCACAGTAGCAATAAGAAACGCTATGAGAAAATTCAACAGGAGCTGGAGTCCTCCACCAACATGATAGAGAGACTGGAAGGCTCCTCCGATGGTGTCGCCGACCAGTATAAATTCTTGCAAGAAATGCGAGGGTATGTTCGAGACTTGCTTGAGTGTTTCAGTGAAAAGGTAAGGGAGAAACGGTTTGCCACTAATTTGATGTGTTTTGCCTTGTTCAGGAATTAAATACACGAGAAAATTGTGATTAAACATTATGTAAAGGTGTTATACTGGATAATCACATAGTGCTGTGATCACAGATTTTTCCCTTGGCAACCCTAAATCTAAGATACAATAATAGTTGAAGTTCGATTTTTTGTAATCCATACTGCAAATTTGACCTTTTTGCTTAGTTTTAATAGGGCGGCATTAGTTTCACTATTTTTCCATAAGAAATTATAGACATCCGTGTGGCCCAGGTGCTGTGCTGCTGTTGAGTTTGTAAGTGACCTAATGTGGAATGTTTTTTAGAAGCTCGTGAAGTTTTAATGCTTAAATGTATCCATAAAGACAAGTTGGGATATGTTTCTCACTCTTCATCCAAGGTTTTCCAAGTCTCTACGATGATGGTGCTATTTTGTAGGAAACACTTTCTTTACACTGCATGTATAATCAGACTCCTGTCAACGTACACATTTAAGCTGCTGTGCTGTCTTTTGAAAGAATAGGGCATGTGAACTCCATTGTCATGACTGATCCCAGCATATCTATGCTTTTGACAAAGCATAAAGTGTCTTTATGGCCCTTTAGGGTTTTTGTGCAGTCCATGTTGGCTGTGCCTTGGTTTATAATCAGTGATTTAATTTTATCACTCTTCTTGACAGACGGAGACTGTAAAAAAATTGCACTTACTGCTGCTTTAGTAGTAATTTATTAGTGCCAGCAACATCATTTAAAACAAATGTTGTATTAATGAGACTTGAGGAGCATCTTAACCATTTTATTGTTGCAGTATAATTGCTTGTAAGTCATGGTCATATTTTTAGCTGGAACTTCAATAACCTTGGGCACACTCTTTATAATCCCATTTAACACCAGGGTGTTTTCAGACAATTGCTTTAATTGACAATTTTCCTTTTACAGAGAGAGCACGTTTTTTAGGCCTAAACCAGGAGCATCGGGGTGCTTCAGCTGTCTAACTGCATTTTTAAGTTGTCAGGAATGAACAAAGAGCAGGAAGCCCAGTGGAGCGAGTGGTTATAAAGCGTATTGGGGATAAGCATCATTGGTGGAGACGTCAGTTGAGAGACTAACTGTTAAAGATACAGATACCCATCCTATTTCACGTGCTCATACAACCTAAACGGCTACTAAGGCTTGTATCGAATGCATTGTAATTCTTCAGTGCCTTGGCAACCTATAGCTTAATTCAAATTTATAAACTTGAACATGTTTCACGGTTGGAACATCGGGTGTCATAGTAAAAGATGCATGATCACTGGTAGTGGATTTAGCTTACAGTTTGGTCTGTATCTCAAGATGCTGGTCAAATGCTTTGCAAAGTGTTGTGGGAGAGGCTTAATATTCATGCATATGGAAAAAGATTTCAAATGACTCTGGAAGAACATGCATACTGTTTTAAATTCCATGTAAAGTATCATTTGGAATCCTTTGTGAAGCCTATGCAGAGTCTGTGTTTTGGGTCATGATGTGGACTCCATGATGCACAGGGCTTTGGGGCATATTTCCAATCGGGTCCTTTCAGCTGGCTCCATCAGTGTTGCTTCTGTCCCCAGACAGCTTGGTAACCAGCCAGAGCTGAGCCTCCTTGCAGGGTTCTCGATCACAGAAGGTATCATATCTTGCAGGTGCCTCTGATTCTCGAGCTCGAGTCGGCAATGCACCAGTTACTTAGGCAGCGGGCGGCCCGGCTGGTCCAGAGAAGACAGGATGATATTAAAGATGAATCATCGGAATTTGCAAGCCATTCAAGTCAGTCCATCTTGAAGGTTTTTATTTTTCATTGAACAGCCTCGTTTTGTTTTGTAGCCTTTTTTGTTCTCATGCAGTCCTGTGTTAATAAGTGTTCTGAGCGTGTGGCTGTTAAATGTGATTAATTTGAGTGCATTCTGGTAAGTGGGAACAGTAGCAGTACGGTATAATTTTCCCTTTCCAGAAATATTCCTTTCCATTTTCTCAGTGCCTTTCAGTGGCACTTTCTATGCAGAAATAAGTGTTTTTGTTTGGCTTTTCTTGGAAACGGGGGGAAAGGGAAGTGTTTATCTTTCTAGTTTCCATCAATCTAGTTTATCTTTATGAAAAAATAGAATAACTTTTTAAAAATATATCCCCAAAAGAACAGATTTGATTATCTTGAGGAGAAAATGCCTTTGAATACCAACCAAGGAATTCAATAATCGGTTAATATCCTGAGAGGGATTCACAGCCAAGTCAGTTGTTCTGGCAAATGTATGCACTACATTTCATACCTTAATACTACAGTCAAGTCTTAACACGTGACTTTATGGAAATCACTGTAGTAAATTTGAAACTCTCATTATCTTCTGTACCATTTTTATAAAGTGGTTCTGTAGATGTCTTCCCTTTGTCTAATTTGAGCATTTATTCCACGTTAAATACTAAAATGTGAACAAAGACCATAGACCATTTTTTTTTTTTGGCCTTTGAAAATCAGACAGTCTAGTATATGCACTGCATAAATCCACAAAATACCTAGAATCCAATCCCCTCGGACTCTTGAAACAAACACAACATAGTTCTTAACACTGTATTTTAAGAGATTAAGAAAGCCCCAAATGCAAGATCATTGTTCAAATAATTTGGTGAAGCATCAGGGTATTAGGGAAGGACGTATTCTTGTAAAATGTCTTTTGAGACTTCTGTTTTGTGTTATCAAAGAATGAAAAATAAAGCTGGTAATAAGAACTGCCTTATAGCGTCTAGCAGGTTATGATCTATGAGAGGGATGAATAGCTAAACTCAAGAGTAGAGTGTAACTTTTGTAGGAAATGATTATTAGGGTTGATGTCTACTGCTCTTTTCTCATTAGTAATTGGAGTTTGTCTACTGTTTCAGGTAAGGCTTTAATGGCACCAAATCTTGATTCTTTTGGTCGTGACCGTGGAGCCTACCAGGAACATGCTAAGCAGCGAAGGATTGCAGAGCGTGAAGCCAGGCGGTAAAGTTTATTATGATTCCATGAAAGCAATTATGATTAAATAAAATACTTTCTGATTATGGCTCTTATAATGATTAGAGAGAAAATGAATTTTGATCCTCTTTAAAGCAATGGGATATATAAGAGCATGTGTGCACAGATGCACAGTTTGGTTACTTAAAACACCATTTGTGTAACTCAGGACAGGATATAACATTTTTAAGAAAACATTTAAGCATTAATATCAACTAAATTAATTCATTGTGATTTAATATTTTCTGTATATTATATTGGATAGGAATATGAAATTAAAAAGGTTTAATTCTCAGTTCTCAAAAGACCAACTGTTTTTCCACAAACTATCTGAAATTTAGATTCCTAAATGGCTATAAGAAACATTTAATGCTTGCCTTGTTTTCAGGTAGAAACCCTTAAAAACATTCCATCAGTGTTTTAATTCAGTATTCTGTGATCCAGGGCTCGGCGGAGGCAAGCTAGAGAACAGAATGGGAAGAGAGCTGAGCATTGTGAAGGTCTGTCGAGTGATGATGAGGAGACCACCACTGACATCACCAGCTTCAATCTGGAAAAAGGTTTGACATGTCAGATGAATTTTGTTTAATGGAAAAATGTTCTCTATGTCTTTACAATTAAGTGCCACTAGGCGGCAGCAACAGCAGCATTAGAAGGAAAGCTGGAAAATGTTCAATACATTGATAAGCAAAAGGAATTGTCAGTAGTGGACTCCCATATTGCTAACATAACATAACACTCTAAAGCAGAGACATCCAGAGTTATTATGTACTTTCTTACATGTGGTTATAGATGCTTAAGTAGTATTTTTTGTTAAACTTTCTTTCATTTTTTGTGTCATGTCAGGTTTTTGAAATGTGCAACTTAAAAGCTAGCAGACGTCTTGCAAATTCATATTAAACATATATATTTAAAATTCCTAAATGTTTCCCACTTCAACACTTGGGTGTACCCTGTTGTTTTCAACATTGGTTTAGGATGGGTTTCAAAAATGCAAAATGTAACTTAAATATGGTGATAAGCATAAACCAAAATCTGTCTTGTCTAATAGTCTTGGCAGCTATCGAGTGTTATTTGAAATCATATAATAACCAGTATAAGACTCATTCTGGTTGGACACAAGCTAGCAGATTTTCATTTGGCATCAGTCACAGTGCTGGTGTCATCTTTGACAGCTGAAATTTGGTTAGTATCTGCAGCAAAATTAGATATTTTCAATGTAGATGTGGAAAAAAGATCTGGAACTTTTCTCTTAATTTATATATACATTTAGGAAGCAGTACACATAGTGTGCTGTCCTCCTTATTCCTCATCTTGCTTGTGTGAATTTAGAAGACATGAAAGCTCTAATGATTTGAACACTTTTCTTTCTCCAACATGCTTACTGTATACCTAGCTCAGGGGTGTCTAGTCCTAGTATTACATATAATTGGTGCTTTACATACCTGGAAATTTCGTCTATTTTGTGATGAAGATTTACAAGTTTCTGTGTACATTTTACTAGCCTTGCAGCTCCCCTTTAAGAGCAGCATTGACATAAACAATTCAAAACACGCAAGCACATTGACCCTCAAGGACCACAATTTGACACCCCCTGCATTAGATGAGTCTCTTATTGAAGGAAACTTGAAGGGAGATAGACATATTTGAGGAAAAACTTGAATCACAATTTTTTTCCCCTGTATTTCAGAACGCATTTTGAAAGAATCCAAAAAAGTGTTTGAAGATGTGCTCGAAGACTTTCATTCTCTGGACTGCATCAAAGCCAGATTTGAAGTTTGGCGTCGGCTTTATTTCAAATGCTATCAGGATGCATACATTGGGCTGTGCCTGGCCAAGCTGTTCAGTCCCCTGGTCCGACTGCAGCTTATCTCTTGGTCACCCTTAGAGGTGAGTGCTTATTGAAAATACAAACATTTCCAAGGTGGGATATTCATTATTATGCAAGTTCTTGCCCATAATTCACTGACTGTTTGCTAGCTGAGAGGTCTTGATTCTCTGTGGTCATTAAAAATCCCAGGGCGTTTCTCGAAAAGAGTAGGGGTATAACCCCGGCATCCTGGCCAAAATTTCCCATTGGCCTTTACCAATCATGGCCTCCTAATAATCCCCATCTATGAATTGGCTTCATTACTCTGCTCTCCTCCCCACTGATAGCTGATGTGGGGTGAGCGTTCTGGAGCACTATTGCTGCCCTCTCATCATCCAGGTGGATGCTGCACATTGGTGGTGGTGGAGGGGAGTCCCAATTACCTGTAAAGCACTTTGAGTGGAGTGTCCAGAAAAGCGATATAGTGTAAGCAATTATTACTATTTGCGTGCCATATTTGCTTAACCAGGAATTTATTTTTTTTTAGGGCTCATTTGAAAGAATCTTGATTGTCCTCTCAAGTGTGGTCTGACTCGATCCTTAAAAGTTACTGCATATCATCTATGGCAATGTTATTACTGTTAGTCTAGTTTCCATGTTTCTGAAAGGCAATATTTTATCAACATTAATCGAACAATGCATCATTAAGACAAGGAAAACAGTGAGTCTCTGAAACTGTTTTTCCTGAGGTGTCTAAGTTGCTAAGAATGATAAAGATTTGATAATCTAATTCTTCTCTTTTGACTCATGCATGATGGGATTGTACAGTGGAGGAAGCATTATATTCAAACTCCAGTTTATTCTGTTGTGGAAAGAGGTTCAACAATTGTTGCTTGCTCCATTTAAAAAAAAAAAGGAATTAGGTATGCCTTCACATGTAGATATGTGTTATTCTTTCCTGTGGAGCTTATAATGTCAAACAGCATGGCTCTGACAGATTAGATGGGTGTATCGGAATATCATGTCTGCCTGTCTTAATTTCATGTTTGCCTGTCAGGCAGGTATATGAATTGTTGCCAAACAGGTCTTAAAAACAATTTGCAGTTCTAGATTCTGTGGTTGTTCAGAATAATTTGAAGTTCCATGTGTTAAGGGGAAAAATACATTGGTTTTTCATAGATTAAGCCTTTTATTTAAACCCAGCATCTTGAAGGGAGAGTTTCATCCACCTTGGACTGCAAAACCTCTTAACATTAGGTAGTCTGGAATTAATGTTTAAGACTCCAAAAAGACCTGTAAGTCATAGCAGCACATTTTCAAGTTTGCTGACAATTTCAAGGTAAATTAATTTTCTGTATTTTAAGTTCTGCACAAAGATACACTGCAGGAAAACCAATGTTGCTATGCACTGGGTAAGGGCTGTACACTGTGTACTTCACAAGCTAATTCAGCACATGGATTTCTCAAGCACAATAGGTTAGAATGTAAAAACAGCCCACACACTGCAGCTGAATGACTCACCTTTTTTTCCTTTTCATTCAGTCTGTCAATTTAGATGTTGTAGACATGTCTTTTCATGGTAAGTGAAACCCTAAAGAGCCTTACAATGATAATTGCAACAGGTTATACCATATAAGTTAGAGAAGTACTGGTTTCAAAGCTGGCCTAAGAAAATACACGTACAGTTAAATGTACTGTACTTGGCAAACTAAACACAACACATCTGTAACTGACAAATGTGAGAAGCAGTTCAGTACTGAAGAACAGGGCTTTAGGGATAGTTGGAGTTACTGTGGCTGTTGCACATCTGACTGTTTTCACTAACACAACATAGAGAAGGAGCTGAAAAAAGAAGCTACCTAGTTGTTTCCTTGCCTGTCCTGGAAATCACCGATGAGATTATGTGATACCTAGGTGCCAGTGCTCAAAGGTTATTCACTCATTTCAACAAAAAATGGATTCTGTGTTACCTGTTTTATGTCAGGAGATTTTTAAACTCTGCTATACTGTGGTCATAGTTGAAGAACGCTGTTTTGGTCCACAAAGTACTTCATTTATTATATATCTGTGAGTTATTGTACTTTTCTAAAGATCATCCCATACCTGGTCTTGAATAGGCGGTATTTGATGAGCTTCAACATCTTCCACCTGCTCATGTTTCCTGCAGGCTAACTGCCCTAACTTTGAGTACATGCTGTGGTTCGAGGCGCTGCTGTTTTATGGCTGTGAGGAGCAATCTAACTTGCCAAAGGGGGATGTGGACATCAATCTTCTGCCGTCAATCGTGGAAAGAGTCATACTCCCCAAACTTGCAGGTGAGCTGGAATCCAAGTTCATCTTGACAAGAAAGAACAAGGCAGATGCATTAATATAGTTTTCAGGATTTGTATTGTCTAAATGTAATCTCTTGTGCTTCAAGCAATCTTTAAATGTTAAGGGAAGTGCTTATTGCGTCTATATGCAAGAATTTCCCCAACAGATTGATTTAAAAAATTGGTTAAAAATATGACTTGAGTGGTCCCGTTCTTGGGTCTAAAGTGAAGCTCCGACAAAACCAAAGCTTAAATCCCCATTCAGTGTGCTGATCTGCAGAAACAGTGGTAATCAGTTCTCCTTTCATA